GATTGTCAATTTTCACTGAAAGAATTAAAAGGTATTTGCAAAAATAAGGTTCCAGATGATAAAACAATTAAAAAAAGGTTGAAGTTAAAGTATGATAATAGAATTATTATAACTGAGAAACAAGGTAGCTTGACAATTATCTGTTTCATTGATAAACAGCACGATGTGTTGAACAAAGTTTGGTATGACAGTAAAAAGCTAAATATAGGTGAAGAACGTTTTAGAATACTAAAAGCTGCAGCTACAATCCTCCGAGAAAATATTCAATCTGTTGTGTGCGACACTAAAAACTACCCTCCTCCTAGTCAAATGTTTGAAAATATTAATAGAGAAATTCCAGAATCGTTAACTTATTTTTTGGAGCTTTTAATTTTGAAAAATAAACGTCATAAATTGGAAAATTTAAAATTAATATGTACAACTATTAGCCACTGTATTATGGCTGCTATTCGTCCTAGATCGTTTATCTCGAGTTTGCAATTGGGTCTTTCAGTATTTTTCCATCGACGATTTGGTTCAAAACGTCTTATACAGATTTTTTCGTCTTTTGGTTTATGCGCATCATACAGTAACACTATGATGTACGAAGCTGCAGCAGTTTTTCATAGTCTGCCTCATATCTTGCCACCAGAAAGTGGGACATTTGTACAATATGTTGTTGACAATGCCGATATAAATGTACACACTATAGATGGTCATAACACTTTACACATAATGGGTATAATTCAAATAATTACACCAAAAAGTTCAGTTTTAGCTGAAGAGTCTATATCACTAACAAATCAAGTCTTTTCAGCAAAAGATTTTGCAGAAAAAGCACATATTCCAATTCAGATCTATCAAAATGATGGTGTAGTAGGATATAGTAAAATAACTGCACAGAGTTTTGCTTATGAAAATCATACAATGATTTCTTTACTCCGAAAAATAGATATGGTATGGTTGTATGGGAAATGGAACAATTTATCATTGCCGGGTTGGAATGGTTATATCGAACGTTTAACAAATAATAATATGCATTTTTCTTTATCTAAAATTCTATTCTTACCATTTGTTCATCAACCAGCAAGTAACTACAATACTATATACACTACTTTATTATGTGCTTTGGAGAATGCAAAAAATTATAATTAAAAAAATTTTAATTAAATCTATTAAAAATTATAAAACATTAAATATTCAATGGATCATCATGATACCAAAACTAAAATATTCATCATCATCTTTTAACTTAAAACAACTTTACATATTATAGTATATTATGTTCATTTTAGATTTTTAATATTAAAAAATACATTTTTTTCATCATGATAAACCAATCATATCTAAAATTACTAGGTACTTTAAATTGCTAATAAAACATTCAATATTTAATGGATCACTTAGAAATCAAAACTAAAATATTCATCATCTTTTAACTCGAGAAAACTGTGTATACACTATATACTATATAGTACAAGTACATCATGATACTTAAGAGTTTAGTTAAATCAAAAATTGTGTTATCATAAAGAATTACGACTCTTATCTTCTATAATACTTGAGTAAAATTGGTAAAATTCAATACTTATCAGAATATCATACAATTCTATTAACTAGTTTAATTTATTCTTTTGATTGATAAAAACTAAAGCGATTGTTGTGTTTATTGATGTTTGCTTTAAACTCTGAAAATTATTTCATTGTATTTGTATAGGTAGTATCAAAAAACAGCTGTGATAAAAAGTGTTAATACTTTTGTTTTTATTATTGTCTATTTAATGTTAAAATCAAAGATCTAGTAATTGTAAATGCCTTTCAAGTGAATTTAGACAAATATTTTTTATTTGTTCACACAATCAATAAATTATTTTTTTTAATGTAGGTATGTAAATGTTGGTTTCCTGTACTAAACTGCACAATAAATTGAATCAATGCTGGTCGCTTACCTTTATCATCTATAATTCTATTTTAGTTAAAAAAAACTACTGTTCATTTTTTTTCACGTGTTATTAACACGTAATATTTTTTTGTTTTAGAAGAAACTTCAAATCCATGTTATATTAACGCGTTTTAAGCGTAATATGTATCCAAAATTTTTCAAGTGACTTGGTTTTGCAATGTTAAAATTAAAGTTGAAACAAGAATAGTAAGATGAGCTAGGTATGACTAAAGTAAAAGGTAAAATTGTAATGTATTCTTTATTTTGTCGTTTATGATATTTCCATATGAGATAGATACCTATGATATTGTTCAAAAACTCTATTTTTAAAAAGACATGAAGTGTTTAAAAATTAAAATATTTAAAAAAATCTGTTTATAGATAACAGTCTATTTTATTGCTGCTAAGATTAATATAATATAAACTACTGTTATGTTAAGGTTAATATCAAGAAATGGATTCTATTGAAAGCAATTATGATATCCTATACTTTTGTGAGCTCAATGTAATTCACTTCAAACTTGATCTGTGTACAAGTTCTTATTCACTAAATTTTTATTTAAGATCCAAACTTGTGTCAATGGAGATGATAAAAGTGCTAATTGATGATCACGGCCAATCTTTTTGTATTAAATAAAAAAAAATAAAAATAATTTTAGGTAATTCACATAGTAAGAATTTTTTAATCCAACTTCTTTTGTATATTGTTATCAAATATAATTTTTTATTTTAAGATAGTGGAAACTCTACAAAAGAATCTATGTTAATACAATTTTGATGACACTGCCAACGCCAGGATTAATGTTAGGTTTGCCATTAGTATACCTAACTTCACTTATTGTTCATAAGGTGCATGTTAGATTTTAAATACAAAAAACTACATTTTTTCATCATGTTTAACTATTCTTATCTAAAATTTCTACTTTAAATTGCTAATAAAACATTCAATATTTGATGGATTATCTTGAAACTAAAACTAAAATATTCATTACAATCTGTTAACCTAAGATAATTTCAAATAAATCATAAAAAAATTAATGTTTTGTACTTTGGTGTTCTGTGTGACTTACACTTCACAATCCTTAAAAGCTTATATGGAAATAAATTTGATCAATGAATATCTTTCAGTGAATGGCAAATACTTAAACTTGTAATAATTCAAAATTTGAATTCCGGATGTTGTAAAATTTATATAATTTGATTACTAGTTGAATTTATTTTTAAGTAGATTCATTTGCTCCGATTTAAAACAAATAAGTCAAATTGAATACCTTCTATGTATTTATTGTGTATAAATAATTGTTGTTCCATAATTAATTCTCTGTCTTTTAAGTTAATTTTTGGTAAGGTACTATTATTATTTTTATGACCTTTTCCTTGCAGGCCTTCTGTTTAAATATCAATTATTTGAATGTTCAATTGTTGAATGTTTTCAGTGGAAATACAGAAATGATCCATTCTCATATAATCACAATAATTTAATCCTGTACTTGAAAATTTTTATTATTATTATATACAATCATATATTATACATTTTTTGCATATTTAAATAATATACAGTAGAAGAATTAAATAATAGGTAGAACTCGTAAAAACTATACGCACACACTTTTTAAACGGCTAGAGTCAAATATATATAATTATAATTATACTGTATAGTTTAAAAACAAAATTGGCTCTCTTAATACTTTTGGCGGAGAATTTTTGGCAATAAATGCCGAAAAAAATATTTAAAAATATTTTATGTCGTTTTGTAAACATGCAACGGTTCTCACTGCCATACCAATGCAGTTTCCTATATCGCTCGTGTTAAATAGTAATTACCTACCTAAATCATCATACAGCAGTATTGGCTGTACTAGCCATTATAGTTGTGCGTTTGCGTTTTTAGTGAACATGTAGATGCTAATGATTAATAATGAATTTTGGTTACCTACTGGCTCTATTAGTATACTAGTATATTATCTATTTATTAATCTTAAAATTCATTAACATGAATTAAAGTATTTTTCTTACTATTTTAATTTTTTTTTTTCCATTAAATCATTAAGTAATTTGATTAGACTTGTTATGTTCATAATTTACGGGCATCGGGGTATTATTGTTCCTGTGTGTCAGTCGGGAAACGATTCTTATATTGTCACATGCCACTTTTTTACTGTTCCGAAAAATGCAGTCAAACTTTTTAATAACGACTATTTTTTGGCACCAGTAGTTAATTGTATAATTTATTATATTACTACCAACTGGACATTTATGTAATCAAACTTTAATTTAAATATGTTGAACGTGCTGCTTTTAATTTAGCATTAATTAATAATACAGTCTAATTTTCATGGTGTAGTTTTATTTCAAGTACCAACAATTCAAAGGTTAAAAAAGAAAATATGACTAAAAAAGACAGCAAAATTTACAAAAAAGTATTAAAATTAAAAATTAATTCGTAAATATTTATTTTTAAATTTAAAATTGTATTGAATTTAAATAATTTAGTATAATGTATCTATAAGTATAAATTTTAGGTCTTATGTAAAATATTTTTTATACTTTAATATAACATGTCACGAGTTGACAATAATAAAGCAATATTGATTTTCCATTTTCGTCAAAATAGGGATTACTGTACAAAGCATAAGAATTTTTAGAAAACTGTACAAAATGTGTGTTTTACTGCTTTGATCTGTAATAAATAATGTCTAATATTTAATATTTGATAGACGTGATAGCAAATCATTTTACAAACAAGTTTTGAACATTTTGTCGATAGTAGACCGTGCTTACGCTACAGGACTACAACAGGACTACAGGAGACGGGAAAATAGATGTAAAAAAATGTTTGTTGCTAAGCAACACCCTAATATATTATTGGAGTTATTGATTGTTCTTCATGTTACAACTCGCAAGGTGAAAGCGCTCCTTGGGTGATATTTATCAAAGCTATGGGTGGAACATGCGCATATTGCTCGTATTTGTTGCGTCACGGGACCTCGCATTTATGAGTCACGCTATTTACGCATGCGTTAGTGTATTGTGTTATTGTGACACGTATTAACGCTTAAAAGTTGTATACAGTATTACAGTCGTCAGTCGTGCATTCGCAAATTTTTCGTCTCAGCTTCAGATTTGTCGTATTAGTGTTCCAAATTTTCGAGTCCACTCGTCGCTTATAATCCAAGTACATAGTACGTACGTGTGTCCCGTTTTCTCGTATTTCTATACTTTCTCGTATTTTGTTCAGTCAAACAGCCAACGGTAATCGCGCAACAATTGTAACTCTACGATAACCCTACTCTTCGTTTTATAATAACCGTGAACGTGCGTATTGTACCCGAATAAACAATGTTGATCGAATGTTCGCTAATCATCTATGATCTGGTCTCACCAGTAAGAAAGGAGTTAGTGTCACACAGGTCGTATTTGTTTACCCAAATAGTAACCGGCAAATACTATTTGTGCGTGTCGAACTCAACTTACGCGAATAGAATCCACTATGACATTGCCATGTTGGAAAAAATATTGTACAAGAATATTAAAGAAAGGAAAATGGGATTGCTGTTCAAAGATCCCAAGCAAGTGTTGATGGCAACAGCCGATAGCAGTGAAATGCTCTATTTGTTCTACCGTCAACTTAATGACATTATTGATGGGAAAAATATAATCATCGGTAAACGCCATAATTTACCGAAGATAGAACATAATGAAAACTGTTATAATTTGGTTCGTTATTCAAATCCTCTTGATAGTAATGTCTTTGATAACATTCTCTTGAAGATAAACCATTTGAGTAAGATTGTTATGGAAAACTGTGATCTACCAAAAATTCCTATAAACATTGGCAATCTACCTATTAGATATCTGAGTATATCAGGCAGTAATATACCTACATCACAATTTGATCAAAATATTTACTGGAATTGGATGTCTATGAAAACAATTAGTTGTACATTAGTAGTCTTAAAAATTAATGCAATTGGTTTGAAATTATTGCCATTTGAATTATTGTTCCTAAAAAATCTACAGAGTTTATCTGCGTCCAAAAATTTTCTGGTAACTTGGTCAATTTATTAGTATGTATTATTAATTAAACAGCTTTTTTATTCAATTTATCTTCAACTTTTTCTTTTAATGTACTGATAAACAATATATTAAAGCAATTGGATAGTGTGTAAGTAAAAGGGTTTAAGTAAAAAAAAAAAAACAAACACTGATTTCACTAAACTAAAAATAGTAATTTTATACATTAATTTTTTATGTATGACTTATTCTCTTTCATATAATATGATTTATAAGTTATTATTTTTAAACTCAGTTAATAAGTATTATTTAATATTTTTGTTTTCTGTTCAGCTGTTATGTTTTATTATTTAGACTTTAGAATATTGATTTATACCATCATCACTACTAGATTTTGAAATTTTGTGTTTTTTCACTGCTATTTCACTAGAATGAATATATGTCGGTTGGGGAGTACCTATTTGAGTATATATAAGAGTATCATAGTAATATTTATAAAGAAATGTCTATACGCGAAAAAAATATTAATTTTATAAGTAGGTTCACAATGGATGGTGGGCAATGAATATATTATTTTTTTCTGTTATAAATAGTATTCTTTTTTTTTAAATTTTAAATCCCATAGCATACCAAAATCACCATGACCATCGTAAGTTATATATTGTAATCATATATAGTTGAAGTGTAAATGAATCGTTGAAAATAATTTTGGTCAATATAACTAAATTTTTATTATTCACCTATTATATAGATAATTTTTATAATAACATTATTATTTTTAATTTTTAATGATGATTTCATTGAGAACTATTGAGTAATTAACAAAGTATGTTTATAGACTTATTTTTTTCTATAACAAGAAAAATTTTTTTTATACATTTTTGGAAAATATGCTATTTATTCAAAAATTAAAACATTATTTATCAATACATCCTTGTATGTAGGGGTTATGATTTGCATCATCAATGTTACTCTAAACGTAAATAAGGAAATAACATTAGATAATTAACTATTATGAATTTTTTGCATGTATATATTTTGTGTACCAACTATAGCACTTATTTGTATAACTTAAATAATATTCTAATATACTTTTTTTTAAGTAATTTTATTACATTGCCACTGAGTTCCATCTGTAGATTTTGATCTTATTTCAATCGAATCATTAATTGGAATAAAGTCAATATTATTATTTTAAAACACTCTGAGTGACATATAATTAATTTTATAAATCTACTATAATTTAAATAGTTTATGCTTAAGACATCATAACTCACTATGTTACTAATATCTAAAAATGTGGAAAAAACATCCATTGATTAAATGCCTTGTGATGCAATATTTTTAATATCACCATTATAATATTATACTATACATTTTCATTAAAACCTTTCTATAATATAAAGGTTATGTATAAATGTAAATTTTAATAATAATATTTGATATCATACATTTAATATAAAATAATAATTTGATAAAATAATATTTATTAAAAGTGCAATATTATTTTTTGTTGTATACTTAGTAAATTATAAATTGTCCAGTAAACAGATTAGATTTTATTGAATTAGCTTCAAAATTAAATTAATATAAGCTGTATAAATTTGAATAAAGATATTAAAATCAATTAATACAATTTTTATACTATCTACTACAATAGGTTGATTATTGGTAGGAACTATTTTTAAATTGAAACCAATAGTGTTTGACAATATAAAAATAAATGCTTAAAATAAAATTATGTATTATTAATGATAAAACTTACTAATAATTTATATTCAAAATAGAATGTAGAAGTAAAAACAATAAACATTTAATGTACATCTTTCTTCTTAGTAAAATTATTCTATAACAAATGTTAATTTAGTGATTATAACTTTTAACTTTTAAAGTAGATAAGTGTAATTTTATATTTTTATTAAATACATAATAATATAATTCTGGCTTTTGGTTATTTTTGTAAGATATAAAGACTCACTTTATTTTTATATTCAGTATAACATTTGATATTGCAACTTTTTTCCTAAACTAAGTATTCTTTTTGAACATAAATTATGGTCTTGATTTAAATGTTAAACATGATGTCAATTTATTTAAATAAAATAATGAAATAAATTATCATAATTATAATAATATTGTTGATAATATGAAAAAATAATATTAATATTATTTTATTTCTTACATTTCTCAATTATTTTCCACTTTTTCCAATGTTTCTTTACAAAAAGTTTAACCAACCTACTAATTAAATATTTAATTAGTATTAATAAAATCTACAAAAAAATCTCAATTTTTACTTATTCCCTTTTACAAAAGCATTGTTCAATTATTTTCAGCATGTTTTATTTTTTTAATATATTTTTTGCTGCATTCATCTAATATACTATGAGTTTTCAATATATTTTGTATACTTGAAAATGGTTGTTTTTTTTGTTTATTTTTATACATAATAATTAATAAGATAATATTTAAAAATTATTATTTATTTTGAGAATTATTAAAGCCAAATAATTAATTTTAAGTTGTTTTAATCTAATAACTTTAATTTGATTAAAGAATGATTTTTTTTCAGACATTTTTACCCCACTTCATCGCTGAAATGAAAAAACTCAATCGCTTAATTGTTGCTGATAATATGTTAACATATTATCCTGATCGTTTATCTCGTAGATCCTTTAAAACAGTTGATATATCAAATAACTTATTTGATGTACCTGAATCTCTACGTTTTAAGCATTTAACTAAATATTTGAATGTATTTGGAAGTCTTAAGAGACCAGATAAAGAATTAAATGTAAAACCATTAAGTCATTTGTCATTTTACTCTTTGATTAAAACTCGTATACCATTTATAAGACAAGATATACCTCAAACATTGTGGTTATTTTATGATGTAGTTGGTCGTTGTGCAAAATGTAATAAATGTATACTACCAGATTATTCTGTTATAAGTCATCGGAATGGCTTACCTAGAGCTATAAATTTAATTAAAGATCAAAATACTATCAATATACCACTACAATTTTTGTTATGTCGAGTTTCGCGTCATTTATGTGTAAGGCGTTAATATTTTAATGCTTAAGTTCATGGGCGTCCCTAGGCGGGCAAGTGCCCCGTCTTGCCCCCCCCCCCCCCATAGAATTTTAAATTTGTTTCCTAATTGTAAAAATTTAATGTTATACTTACGAAATATGATAATGTTCTATAAACAAAATAATATATAATAATAATAATACCTAATAGTAATAATGACAAAACATGATAATGTATTATAAATAAAATGTATAAAAAAAAAAAAAATCTTTATTTATTTTTTAAATTAATTATGCCTCCCTCTAGAAAAATGTTTGGGGAAGCCCATGCTTAAGTCATATTTATGTAGATGTAAAGACTGTGTGTCTATATAAAATATATAATTTTAAATTAAAAATTTATTATTACAATATTGTAGATTAAATATAAATTAAAATATATAATACTATAAAACATTTTTATGGAATAGAGATATTACATATAATTTTAATAAATATAAAAACAAAATAACTAAAGTGTAATCATACAAATGCATCGATTATTACTATCTACTGCTGTTTTAATATCAAAGCAGTATTTCACTCATTGAATCAATATTTTAAAATACATTTAAATGATGAAAAGTTTGAATAAACAATGAATTAAAAACAAATGATTTTCCTTTTTTTTCGTTTAAATTAATAATTTTTTCAAAATAAAAATTTGTTTCATATACTTTTATTTATTTTATATTATATTTTTTTTATTACACTTGGTTGTTAAATAATATTGTAAACACTAAAGTATAAAAAAATATCTTAATTTATTTGCATTAAAATACAAATCTCATTACAATGATATTTAATTGTGTACAATAATATTCCTTACTTTAATTAAAATGATTAAAAATTCTTTTAATATTAAGTTATTAGTTAATAAGCTATTACATTATTCACCTCTTATATATTTACTTAATCTTATTTTGTTAGGCTTCAGCCTCTACAATTATAATATAAAATTAAATATAGTTGATCATCTACACTTATTTTGACTAAAATAATTATTTATGTACCATACAAATATCTATCGCATATAATTATCTGTGCAAATAATCTAATAATAAATAAAAGTTGATCATGTATATTTAAGTTTAAATATCATACATTTATTATATTTTAGAAAGTTAACTTTAAAATGTACTTATATGTGTTAGTATAGTGGAATAAATAAATATTATTAATAATAGGTAATAATATTAATTATAATACAATAAAAATAATGATTAATTAAATATTTTAATTATAATTCCATTATATGTCATGTTTAGAGTGATGTTTTTTTAAATTTTTTACATTAATTATTATCAATATGCTAGAACAGTAGATTTTGCTGTTAAAATAGTGGCTTTATTATATACTTCTACTAAGTAAAATTGTATAAATTATAGTGAATAGTTATTATTACAACTAATTGTATTGATTTTTTGCTAATTAATCAACTAAATAATTGTTTGTACCCGTGACAGAAAGTATTGAGTACAATAATTGTGCACTTTTTATGCTAACTAAATACTTTCAACCATTTACTGTAACCAAATAATTATTTTTCATTTTATATACTCTATATATTAAGTATATTCATGTAATCAATTATTACTAATAACGTATTTTGTGACTTGCATTTAAATATTGTATCAATAATTGGTGAATAAGAATTTAGTTGGTATTTATAGTTTTTAAATACCTAAATTCTTTTTTTTTATTCACTGCACCCTTTGGTGTTTTATAAAAATACTGAGGCACCCTACATACTATACTCGTACTTTATATGAATATTTTGTATTTTAAATAATTTTACAGCAACCTAACTACTTTGCAAAACACTAGTATGGCACAGCACACCAATAGAGAATCACTGACTTTAAATTTGAAGCTTTCATTTCTTTTTATAAATAATTACATTTTCCAAAAAATTTTGATTTATTATTATACACTAAATAATTTAAGCTACTTGCAAGTAAAATGTATGTTATAAGTTTTAAAATATGTATAATATAATTATTTATTATTGGAGTAAAAAAAAAGTATTAAAATAAAACAAAATTTATGTGTATAATTTATAAATAAATGACTTCATAAGTCATAATTTAATACTATGATCATATGCTAATATTCCATATTAAAGTACATTTTTTTAGTATAAATACAAATCGGTGTAATTTAGTATAGAAAACAATTATTTATGTGATATTTGAATGATTCATTTTTCTAAGATTAACATCCATAGAATTCCTTCAAAATATTAAAAATCATTTAAGAAAGCCTAATCTTTTGAATATAGTTCAATTTCAACAAAATGTGAACTTCAAAAGATTGTAAAACCATATTGTGACCTTCCACTAAATTTTTTTTTTAAATTTCAATAAGAACAATTTTAAGGAAAAAATTAATCAACTTATAAGAGTTCTTAAAAAAAATATATTATTGCCATCATTTGTTTTAAGATTAAGTATATAGAACAAATCAGAATTATGAGTATTTCTTTTAATAATTCTTAATCTAGTTAAATTTTAAATTTTAGGGCACTTGGTATAGTTATTTATAATGTAATAAACAAACATTAAACCATAAAATCACACCTGACAGAAAGAGAATTAAGATCTGTAAAATACTGAACCAAAAGATAAAAATCTCTAATAACTAAACATATTACAATGAGTAATAGAAAAAAATCTTTTCAGATATTTGTATTGAATGTTATTATTGCGTTTACCCAGTTTTATAGGTCAATGAATAAAGCGATAAATAATTTTAATACAGTTTTTCGTTTTTCTATGGTATATTTCTAATTTTTAATGAACTGAAAAATAAACAAAGTCCAAATTATTAAAATAATGACAGTATCGTGGTAACTAGAGAAATGTTACTACAACTTCTGTGATTCTGCAATAGAAAAAACTGTCAGTTTGAGTACGAACTCTCCTATCTCTACTATGATTGTGCATAAATGATTATAAAAGGTCTGAATAAATTTTCTCATGCAGTTTTTAATATTACATATTTTATTGATGGCACATATGTGTATGTATGCACAGGAAGTCCCTTCATGGTCATCTTGTGTGTTGCGATTCTACACAAAAATATAATTTCAGTTTGTGTTAAATGACATGTATAACAGTGTCAAAAATATATATGACAACTGGACTTACTTTTTAAGTTAAAGACATCTAAATACGTCTTCAGTTCCTTCCATGCTATTATTTATGTACATGTTTACTGTATTGTTATATTATGTTTACACCTACAATATCTCTAAATATATATAGATGTATGTATCACAGCTCATTATATTAAGATCATTTAGATAAGTTGAATAATTGTTAGATAAAATTAATGAGCTAAATTCTAGATTAGATCTAATTAAAGAACAATACATTTTCTTTAATTAAAAGATTTCTATTTATTAATCCAAAATCTTACACATTTTATAAATAGTCATCTTTTGATTAATTTTGAAAGACGGATCAGATTCAAAACGAATTCTGAGATTTGTGATAAAATAACAAATCTAAAATACTTTAACTTAAAAATAATAAAGAATCATTGTCTCAATATAAACTTTAATTTTTCAACTTGATAATTTCAGGTACTATTTAATTACATCATAGAACAAAACAATTTTATTGTCTTGGAAATTTATACATGTATGAAATAAAAATAGTGAAAGTATTTAACACATCACAAAATGTTCTAAGTTCTTGTATATAAAATTATATTTTATATTTCGTAAATGTTTAATGTATCATCTATTTATCTCTGCATCGTATTATCACTACTACTATCATCTCGTACATGAACAATAATAAAGTAGTAAAACCATGATTATAACGTAATGATTTGTTTTTTGTTATCGTGTTTATGGAGGTTGAATATTTTTGGAAGTAGATTTCTATTTGAAAGTGGAAATTTTGATTTTAAAGAAAAATCTTATAATAATTATTTAAAAATCGATAATTTCAGATTATAGTTTAATGAAGAAATATCGAGTACATAACATAAAATTGACATCAATATTCAGTTCTATACACTATAACACTTAGAACGCACAGTCCGTCGCCCTTTCTAGAGATCAAAGTCTTATCATATTATCTCCGTGACTCGGGAATCACGCTCAGGTCGCCAGCGGTATGGCACTCACGATTTACACTGTTGCATTATGAGCATTGCTACCGAAGCGCCTATCACTCTTTGCTTGTTTATTCAATTGATTATCGTTAAAAGTTAAACTCGTTTCTTTCACGTCTAAAAACGCTACAGCACATTTTTAAGGCTTCTTCATACCTTAGTAGTCGTATAGTTATATCGCGACTAGTACTACCTACCTAAGTTTACAAATTTTATATTTTGTGACAACAGTAGATTCGATTTATTATTGCGTACCTACATTAAACTAAAAGTGAATTAAACATTTTTGCACAATAAATTAAACTATATTTTATTAATGTCATTTTATCTTCGCAGTGAGTTGATTTTACTTTATTCATAAATATCATTATTGAAGCCAACACAGGCACATAATATTCTTGCTATAATACACACTTGTGTCCGTTATCAAATTACTGAGTAATTTTATTCTATGTCAAAATGGACATAATGCTTGCTTCTAATTCAGTACAATTTCGTTTTATGAACAATTTTAGATACTAAGAAACTGAGTACTCAAGATATAAATTCCTTAATTCTTCATGCAATCACCTATGTATTTAATATTTTCTAAACCGTATCTCAAATTTAGATCTACAGTGGCCATAGCTGTGAACACTTTGTTGCCTTTATCTTACTTGCCATTTGTGAAAATATGTTTTTAATATTTTATTTGTATGTATAAGTTTATTCTATAAGTGATTTATATCTTAATAATCTTTAATATTCAACAAATCAATTAAAAAAATAGTATTTTAAATTTTTTAGACATAATTATATTATAAACAGTTAAAACATAAAAATTAAATTAAATTAGTTAGGTGAGGTTTATTTTATTTCAAGTATGTATTTGATAAATAAAAATTGTACGTATATCCCATCGTACTTTAGTATTACTTATTTAAATGATTTCAATTAAATAACAGTATATCTACTACATGGTTTTAGGTACAGATATAATCTAATCTATAAATTCAATAAACTCTTGAACTTAATCTAAAAAAGTTAAGAGATAATTTGTATTTTATATTGAAAAAAATGGGTGTCATTGATTTGAATGAATAACCCAACATTTGTCTGAGTAGAGCATGTATCATTTAGGCGAGAAATTAACCGATCATTTAGACAAATTTATAAACTATTAAATAATAGGGAAATAAAATACCTACCTATAAAATAATTTTTTTATATTTACTACAACTAAATATTATTATTATATTGTTTTAGCTAATTGGTGATAACTATTTTAAGTGTCAAAACCAATTTACAAGTATATAATTAAATCATGGGAAGAATATCAAACTGGAAAATTAGCAATAATTATATTGATCAAATGGGTATGAAATAAGTACCATACTAATAAAAAAATTTAGTTAAGATAATTAATTTAATATAATAAATTATGTGATAATATAATACATTTTTAACCATATCAGTTAGAGTTAACTGAAATTTTTAAGTATCTAAAAATGGCAAGAAAAACATATATTCGTCCAGATGATATGTATAAACTTTCCCAAGCGATATGTTATTTTGAGTTATTCGTCCAAAATTAAAACCATTCAAAAAAATATGATTTAAAAATACTATCGTAGATGATGTCTTTAAATTGGTGGCAATTTATGATTTTATAGGCTATAGTCTATGTCTAGGCTTGACTAAACTTTTACTATTGTTGTAAATTAATTTTATCTTTTTTACAGGTCTTGTGTAAAAGCATCTGTTTCACTTCATGGTATTTATTAATCTACTAATTCTCGCTAAGAAAATACACTAAAGACAGAAATTCATCCAACTACTGAAGGGTCAGATCTGATGGTCCAGATTATTGGATTAAGTTCTATAAAGATTAAACGCTAAGATTTTAGTTGTATTAAATGGTAATTTTACTGTTATTTTTTGTAGGCATTTAGTGTCATAGAAAGATATCAGATTAAGGTATATTTAATAATTCATGTATGATTAATCTTTAAAGCGGTCAAAAAAAAAAAAAAAAAAATTTAGAACAGGAGAAATCTCTGTAGTTTTGTATAGTGAAGATGTTTATCTGTTGAATAAAATTTAATGAAACCTTTTGACTTCAAATATGTAATATTCAACATTTTTATTTTCAAAATTAAATTAAAATAATATGGTTAAAAAGTAGAGTTTGTATACAACTTTTAGGTATACTCTGATTAATAAACATTAAATTTGCGCAGTAAACATAATATAGTTTAATATAATTTAATAATAGTACATATTATTATACTTAATGTAGAATAAATATCTATTAATTATTTCTATAGTATGTATAAATTAATTTGGTACTTATTATTTTAAAAAAGAAAATATTTTTAAAGAAATTAAAAAAAAAGAAATTATTTTAAAGAAAATATATGCTACCAACTAATCATAATTTCAATATAAATTATTTTAGCAATAAAAAAAATTATGATTTTTATTTTTTATTCAGTATTCAAAATTAAACTTTAATTTTAAATAATAATAATTAATAGTAGGTATAATTTTTGTCAATTATTAGTTACTTTATTAAATTCCAATTTCTTTTTAAAAAATACATGCTAATCTATTAATGAATAAGTTTTATGTATTAATTATTAATAACCTATTGCCCCAACATATCCAAAATGAAGACAGTGGTGTCTAAAATTTTCTTTAGTGTTTATTTAAATACTGCAATAAAAATGTTTGCATATATTTTAGACACATAAAGGCTAGAAAAATTCTGTATGAACATATTCGACAACGATGATTGTCCTACTGTAGACACATCTTTAAGTCAAATATTTTAAAATCTTTAATTCATCTTTAAGATGAAATCATATTTAATAAATAGTACTTTAACAATAATGATTTTGCTAAATTTTATTAATTCTGTCCCTTTATTTGCATGTTAATAACAAATGGGACTTTATTATTTTATAAAACGTTATGATATCTCAAACCTGTTACATAGATGGTTGATTACAATTCAACTTATGATTATTCTTAAATTATGCCCTACTATTTTACTAAAACTAAATATTTTGGCCAAAACACCTTTTGTTAATGTTTATTTTTGTTTAGATATATTCAAATAGTTTATTTTTATATTTATTTTTTTATTAATTAACGTCAGTTGGTTTTTATAACAATAATAACAAAAATATACACACACACAAAAGTAATATGATACAACAGCGGTTTTTAACCTTTTGTAGATTACGGACCCCTGATCAAAGATTTTTAGAAATCACAGACCCTTTTACTAATTTTTATTTTTGAATACCTTTCTTTTACAATAAGTCATGTAATGATGTATATTATGTGTTAACGCTACTTTGGATAACAGGTTAAGAATCGCTGTAATACAATATATATATAAAAAACTAAAATGAAGCATTTATGAGTTTTACATGAATACAAATGATGAATGTTTCTAAGTACGAAATTATTGATAATTATTAAATATGAACATTATTCGTAATAGGGGAGCATTTCTTCGAAAATTGCTACGGCCTAGTGATATGTAAAAGAAGTTTAAAATAAAAAAGATTAAAATGTCCGGAATTCCAAAAATCAAATGTGAACCACAAGATATAGTACTTAATGAGTATATAAAACAAGAACCTATCGATGAAGAATATACTTATGATCATTATCATAATGATATCCCCTCTACTAATCAATGGTAAGTATTTAATTACTAGCTTTATAGAGTTTTATCCAAATAATTTATTAAAAAATTGTAATTTTAAAATAATAAATTGTTCTTTTTTATTTAAATATCTTATTTTATCCAAATTTTATTTTAAAATGTCTAAAAATATTTTTTAAATTTGTATTATTACAAGTTTTAGAATATTTGGTTTTAATATGAACTGCTTGTACTAAATTTTAAAGTTTTTAGAATAAGCAAATTTTTTTTAATCAAAATTAATTGAAAAAAAAATTAAAACAAATTGAAAATAACATATATTTTAAATACCTTATCAAGAGAAAATATTTTGAAAATTATATCATGCATAGATGATTCTAATGGTGAAAATTTAAAGTATTTGTGATTATTCATGCTTAAATTACAACTAAATGAAGAAATCAATTTAGATTAAATTATCTAGATATACTTTCTTACCAGAAAATTTATTTAAGTTGAAAATATAATTACTCCAAAAGGTGATGACTGATGATAGTCATTAAATACTTTAAAAATTTAAAAAAATTTACCATTTTAAATCAATACATTTATTCCTCTATTCAGAATCTAAGATATAAAAATAAGTAAGGTTTTTATGTAGTATCGATAGCTTAGCTTGCCATAAATGTAGAATTTGAGTACATTTAAATATATGGATAAATATTATTTTATACTAACAACAAATTAAAAACTAAAGCGACTACACTAGTACTTCAGAGTTATTTTATTGTAAATTTCAATATATTTGCAATATTGTATACATTTTGTATCCTAGAATTATTTGTTTAAAAAACAATTGAGTAAAATACTGCCTAAAATCGTTTCCTTTTTATAAATATTACTTATTCACAATACTGTTTTATTTTTGTAATTAAAAAAAAAAAAATAATTATCTTAAATCTTCAACTAATTTAATCTTAAACATTGTTTTATATCTAGATATTTAGTCGTCTTTGCGTCATAATTCATAATTACTATTTTTCTTCTAATTATACACATATATTTTTATTATTTTCTAACTAAAAGTCCAAGATGGTAATATTTATTGATAGTTATTTATTATTACTATGCTATTATTATTAATTGTTATATTTGAGTTGTACATTATTAAAGAAATATACATTTTAAATATAATTTATTTTTCAGTTATACAAAAGATTCTGAAAAGGATTTTTTAGATGATATTAAAGATGAAATTAAAATTGAAGTTGATGAAATTGATGGTATGAGATATGAAAGTATTATTGTGATTGAAAACAATTATAGACCATCACACATAACAGATTTAATACCATCTACGACACATGGTAACAATTCACAAATCCAAAAACAATTAACAAATGTTCACAAAATAGTTAATAATACTGATAGACCATTTAATTGTGATACTTGTAATAAAGCATTTTCACGGAAAGAACATCTCAAAGCTCACAGATGGATTCATACAGGAAAAAGACCATATAAATGCGAAATTTGCTGTAAAACATTTTCACGGAAAGAAAATTTTAAAAGTCATAACATGATTCATACGGGAGAGAAGCCATTTAAATGCGGTATATGCTATAAATCATTTTTACATAAAGGTCATATAAGAACTCACATGAGAATTCACACAGGAGAAAGACCATATAAATGCAATATTTGCAAAAAATCATTTTTACAAAAAGGTAATTTAAGAACCCATAAAAAAACCCATTTAGGAGAAAAACCATACAAGTGCATAAGTTGTAATAAATCATATTCACGAGAAGATAATTTAAAAAGTCACGAAAAGATTCATTTGGGAGAAAAACCATTTAAATGTGATATATGTAAGAAAACATTTTTACAAAAAGGTCACATAAGAATTCACATTAGGATACATACAGGTGAAAAACCGTATAATTGTACTATTTGTAAAAAATCATTTGCAAGAAAAGACAACATGAAAAATCATATTAGTAGGATGCATACGATAAAAAATTAATAATAATATTATGTGATAATATATATATCATTAAACTGTCAATATGTTGTAACTATATTGTAACTATAGCTTATTATAAATTATTCTCCATAACACCTTTTTTAATTGAATATTTTTTTCATTAAAGATTATTAGGTTAATAGGTTACCCAAAATTTGTAACTTTGTATCTAAAATCGTAATTTTCTAAAATATATTTTAATTTTTATGAAGTCACTTCAAAATCATCTTTAAAATATACAAATATTGTAAATTAAACTTAATGTAATAACTAATATGGTAAATTTAATGATTTATTGCTGTTATTAATCTCATTTTGAACTTGTACTATGATATAGTATTCTATAAGTTCAAAATGATTGATAAAATAATGTATATTAAATGCTGAGATGTAAGCATTTGTAGGTCAAATGTTTTATGTTTTTTTTGTATTGTTTGTATATTGATATAAAATAGTTTTCATCCAACTTGTAGGTTGTATGTAATTAATAATGAAGAATTGGCGTATCTAATCTCTTTATTAAGTGTCACGGAGAAAGTATTGTTAGCACAATTCTCTTCAAGAGTCAATGATGCCCAACATATAGTAGCATTTGTAAAGCATTCATTATTAGTTTTAGTAAAATGTCTTTAATTATCTTAAATTTGTTGCTACTCCAAATAATTTTTGAAAATTTTCAATATTTTGTTAATATAAAAAAATTAATTTAAAAGTTATATTCAGATATAATTTATTTATTTAATGATGATTTAATCATTAATTTTGATCATCAAGAATTTTTAAATTTCAATTGAATTTATTCATAATATTTTTAAGTTTAAGTTATTGCGTAAATACTTTTTATAAGTTGCTTAACTTTGTTAATCTATTCTAAATCAAACTATTTTCAAAACCATTAAATTTTATTATTACTAATATATTTATAACGCAATATATAAAATGTATAAAATGTCAGTTACATCTTGGTAATTTATACTTATGTTGAATTTGTTGCCCTATGTCAAATATGCAATTTATAATGTACTATTAAATATATTTTAATATCTAAATAACAATTTTAAGCTTTGATACTTTATGATGTATAATTTATATAATATAATATGAAAAATTATGTTGATGTGTCATTTTCTTCAAATGCCATAATGTAATTCTAATATATTTACTTTTTGCAATAAATAAATTTTCGATTTTTTAAGATTGTACTTTGAAAATAGAGTTATTAAAGCTATTTAGGTAGTCAACTGACGAATCAAAAAGTTATAGAAAATATGTATAATATATATCTAAAATTAAGTTTGAATATTCTTAATAAGTGATTTAAAAATACATATTTCATGTCATGTTATATATTGTGTATACTTTAAAAATGGTTAGGTACGTCATTATTTAATAAATAATTTTAATTTTGGAAGTATAAAATAAAAAAATAAATTAATAATTGATTTAATTTTTTTTTTATGTGAATAATTCTATAGTCTATTCGAAATAAGATCGTACCTCGGCGGCGACCAGTTTTCGTTCGCGACGGTCAGATGTTTTTCCCACCATGAAAGCTCGTAAAGCTAGCGCTGTGGAACAAAGCAACGCCCATGCGCAGAAATCGGCCGCCGAGGTACGATCTCATTCCGAATAGACTATAATGCTGTTACTCGCAGGGGCGTCTTCAGGGGGAGGCGAATGGGGCAGTCACCCCCTCCATGACCTCTATTTTCTTATTTATTTTATTATAAATTGGTATATTTTCATATATATATATTATATATAGGTGATGTTTGAAGTTCGCCCCCCCCCCTATAAAAGGGTCTAGGGACGCCACTGGTTACTCGTACAATCGCATGTAGAGGGATTCGCTCACATGATACGAGTTACTCTATTTTTATAAATTGAATTAGTAACATCAGTTTGTAAATATTGCCCCAAATGCATATGATGGCTAACTTGTTATTGGAGTGTAAAATTTATAATATACAAAGTCTGCTATCTAGTTTAATATAAATATCTACGTATCCTTCATTTCTGCCGCGCATAGCCCCAGTCCCTTTTATTGTGTATATATTTTTGTGATTGTATCGTTCGTGATTTGGATCTCGTGTAATACTTAATTACCTGTGGCATGAACCATACACTTAAATTTACTTGCTATCATAAATCTAATACTCCGAGTATAACAGTTACCTAACCTGATATTCGGTCATGGAACTGAGTATAAGACGCTGGTGCAATACATAGGTTAGGTAGTATAGCACTCAAAATGTATTTAATATTTAGTATTTTTTATACCGGTCACGAGTTCAAACTCCCGACATATCATCCTAGTAAGTTTGTTGCTTAATGTTAATCGCTATTAAATACCAATTTTAGAAAATTCAGCAATTTGGGCAGAACGTTAATCATTCCGGCATCCTGCATTCAGCTTTAGTGACTTCAAAATTTCAATTTTTCTAACGTTTGAGGGGTTTACATACAAATTAATGCTGATTTGAACCGCGATTCCGAAAATAAGGAGCAAATAAACGGTATTACGATAAATTAGTAGTTAGGTTTCGTAATAACATGCTCCAAATATTTTTAATGATTTTATAATTTTTATTTGTAATTTTTTCAGCTATCTGATGGTAGCAGAACGCCGAGTCAGCCGCTTATGACTACAAGGAAAGGTTAACAGTTTGAATTGGTTGCGCACAAAAATCCGTATAATCAAACTACAAAATAAGTTATTCTGTGATCAGAAATCGGTTTTTAACACAATCTGAACAGCTGAACCTGCACAAATACTCAATACCGAAACGTTTACGTCTTCGCTGTTCTGGATTCCAGATTTTATTTTCGTTGAAATCGTTTTTATTCTATACAAATTGCTCTGTGGCTTTCAGTGTGTGCTTCAATACGTGTAACCAACATACAGCTGTGTGATTGATTGAGATTTTGGTATATGACCGACAATCCAGTCTGATTTTTGCATTCTGGTTTCATTGTGTGCGTGATTGTAATTAACTTGTCACCCATCTCCTAGTGATAAAATAGTAAGTCAACCTTATTATTACAACCATTAATAGTTTTATTATATGTTTAATTTTTTTTATTATTTGGAATTTATTAAGTTTTAATTTAAGTAGTTTTGTTGATCTTGGCATAAGAGTATAATAATTGATAGGTAATTTTTGATACAAACACACTATGTAAATAGTGGCACCTAAATGTAAAAGATGCCCTTTTTTTTTGGTTGAATTGTGTATAAAATTTTCAGTAAAGTTCTACTTTTATCATCCATACAATATTCTTTTTTATGAAATTCACAAATTTATTGTTCTCTGTATTTGTATGCCTTAAGTTTTTTGCATGTCTACACCTATCAATTAAAAATTATCATCTAAATCGATATGCTCAATTCATTGTATTCTCATTGTAATTTCAAGAAAGTATTCCCCTTCCCTATGCTAGTTAATAAACTAGAATAATATTAATATCTTTTATTATGATAAAAGTTACATTATAAACTAGTAGTTCAACTCAAATGTCTCTTGTGTCATAACATTTAGTTGAGTACATAATTCCTTAATTTAGGGATTTTATTTTTGGTTTTACAGTTTTATATTCTCTTATATTTATTTAAATGTATAGTAATTATATATTTATAATATGGGTTTAATAACTATTAAAAATAAACAATTTTGTCTTAGTTATATTTATGTTTGTACACCTAAGTGTGTACATGTCCTCTTTAAGGAGAAACAAGACTATGTAATTTAAGGTTTAAGGGATCTAAGCCTTTCCTGATTTTTTTTTTTTAGTCATGATGTTGATGTGTGACAACAATATTTGGAATAAATCTTTATGAATACTTATGGATGTGGTTAAATTAAACCAATTTAAATATAAAAAAAATAAAATGTTCTAATGTTTAAATTGCAAAATTAGGTTTGAGGTTATTTTTTAGTTTTTTAGTTTAGGTAATTACAAAGCAGAAGCTATTCTGTTATTAGGAAAATATTTATATATATTATAGTACATTTTAATTTTAATATTTTATAAATATTTTTTACTTTTACAAAGTAAAGTAAAAAGGTAAGGAAGTCACTTATATCTCTTGTGGCCTCGTATGCACACACACTTATGGAATTTCACATATTACCAAAACACAATATAATATAATGAATTTAGAACATTTTGTCTATTTAAAAATTATTTGGCTAAAATCATAGGTATTTGTAGGTCAACATTTCATGTGGTACCTTCAATATTTTTAGGCCCTCTTAATATAAATAATGTAAAATTATTATGTATAAATGTAAGGTAAATATGTGTAGATTTATACAAAGATTTTTTAACAATACACAAATATGGTAAATAAAAAAAAAATAATAGTTTTATAGCACTTCTAGCTCTATTGTTTAAATTAGTTTAAATTTAGCGCATGACTTCAGTTATATTTTTTAAAATTTTCTTTTATTCGATTAATTATAGTAAAATATTATATTGTCTTATCATTGGATATTTTATTATATAATTTATTTCATACAATTATAGTTGTTAAGTCTTATATAATGTATTATTTTGTAATGCATGTACATAGTACATTCTAAGTAAAATAATTTATATTAGTATATCTCTATTGAACTATTTTTTAATACTTATAATAATGTTATATATTATTATTTGTTAGTAATTTTATAGAAAAATATTTATGTGAATAATAATAGTAAAAAAATGTTTAATCTGATAAAATATAAATATTTATTCACAATTTTTGTAAATATTACCTAAAGTAAAATATTAGATGAACTGACAAATAATAATAAAAAACAAGATTCAGCTAAAATTTTATTGTTACTTAAATATTAATTTTTAAGTTTCTATTGTTAATTAATATATCCAACCTATAATCAATGATTTAGAGCACATTAAAAAACCAGCCTCATCCCTTTTTATGGTATATATGAACTAAATCAACTCAAACTTAAATAACATAAATAATTTCATTACTTGGGGTTGGTTTTGAAAACCAATTTTATGATTAGTGGCAGAAGAATATTTTCAAATATTTTGCACATATATAAAAAAATAGATATTCATTATAAATTATGAAAATAAATGTTAAAATTAACTAAAGAAATTTAAGTTAATACAATATTGATAATTCTTCTAGTTATAGTTACATTATAATGCTCTATTTTGTCAGAAAAATGTTTTACCATTTTTTGTATTAAATTTAAATTTTATTTTCGTGGATAGATGATGTCATCGATACATTTCTATTTTATTGCTTAAAATTCCTTGGATGAGAGTTGAATCTATAAATATATACTTATAACCTGCTATGTAGTGTGCTCTTGAAAAATCGAATGAGTGGATTCTGAAATCATTGGCATCAAATATTCACATGTACGTTTTTTTAAATTTTTGTATAGAAATATTAAAATTTAATTAGTTTAAAACTAAAATTGATTTAAAAACTCTTGACTTTATTTCTTATGGGCACTTTAAACAACCATACAAGTATAATTTATTTATTTATTAATCAACCTCTTTTATACAATTTTTATTTGTTACACAATAAAAAACTAGTGGATTCTCTTTAAATTCTGTATTCACTTATTTTGATTTATTTAATTTTTTAAATGTATCTTTTATTAAATTAAAGAATGGCATTCAGTTTTAGTTGATAAAAAAATATCTGCAATTATCCAGGTGTATATTTTATATATATAAAAAAAAAAAAATACTATTGAATAAATATATATTTGATTTAATTAGATTTAATATAGTTTATATACACTTGACATCAATTAATATTTTAATTTTTAGAATTTTCTGAAATGACTCCAATGAAAGATAACATGAAGGTTAAAGTCACTGGTGCTGTTGATGCTGTTACCAGGTATTTTCACATTATTAAAATCCTTATAAATTTTCTTCTCTTTTTAATTTAATATAATTATATTTTATAAAATATTAATTAAATCTTAAAATTGTATAGTCAATTATATGTTGAAAACACTATTGAAAATCTTACAGGACTACAGTTGAAGATAATCATGTGTCTTTGATAATTGAAAATACTGAGAATGTTATAAAGATTGAAACTGATATATTCAATGATTATGTGTGGAATAGTACTATCGAAATTTCTAAAGATGTTGCCAACGATAATAATGTGAAGTTACCTTTGGAATCTCAGGTAATATATCTAATATAGTATTCTTGTCATTTGATTTTTACCACATGTTTTCACATGTCGTATTTAGACTATAACTATTAATGTTTAGTTTAATATGTAATCTACCACTCTTTTTAATATAATTTCTGTATTTTTCATTATATACTAAACTAACGTTATTAACCAAATTTCAATTTCTCTTTCAAAAATTTTATGTAATATTTATCTCTTTTTTCCACCATAACAGTGCTGTTTCTTCTAACTAAACAATTAATCACAACTTTGAAATTTAAAAGAATAAAAACATAATTATATATCATACATTGTATATTGTCAATGTAGTAGAGATTCATACTTAGTATAAAATATATCAAAAACAAAAATTTTGTTAATCTACAATAAATATTAGCTTTTTTAAGTCGGTTGAAGACTTTATTACGATAACCAGGGCTTGTAATTTTATACATCTAAGATCATAAAAATATGCAATGGTATGCGCATATTAAAATATCAAAATATACACAAATATGTGTTTATTTTTAATTAAAAAAAAATAAATACTTGTACAAATTAAATTTAAAAATTGAAATGTGAAATCTGGAGTTATGCTATAGGTTATTGCCTTATCAGCATTATCATAGTCGAAATCATAAAATAAGATTATTGTAGAATAAGTAATGTATATTATATCTATATATTTGTTTTCTAAATAACATTTTTATAACATGTCAAAAAGGAAAATTTTTCATTAATATTTAAAAAATATGTAAACTCATAGACAATGCAATAAAAATGAATAAAGTTTTGCAATATGCAAGTGAAAAAAAATAACCTAAAATGTACATTAAATAAAATTTTCATAGTTTAAAATTCTTACATTAAAAAACAAATATGCAATAAAATACCGAGCCCTGATGATAACCAAGAAATTTAGATTCTAATTTTAGCAAATGGCGATACATTTTATTAGTTACAATCATTTATAAATAAATATACATATAGTGGTGTATGTATAATAAGTAACAATCCTACCCGTCAAAATAGATAGACCATGTGGTAGACCGCATATGACAAGAATCTTCTAAAAAACATTAAAATATATTAATTATTTTATTTATAAATATTTTTGTCTTTATAGGGTGTCCCAGTTAATAATATTGACTTAAATCCTAAAGATACAAATTATAAATTATTCTACTGCAAATATTGTGGAAAACAGTTTAAGTTCAGATTTGGTTTGAATAAACATATTCAAAAATGTCATAATCACACGCATGAATGCAAATTTTGTAAACTTACTATTGATAAGAGTAAATATAATGAACATGTTAAAAACCATGAAAAAGATGAAACTAGGATTGATATTACTCCTAATATAAAATCGCGCAAATTAAATGATGTTTGGAAAAGTGAAATAAATGAATTTAAGTGTAATATTTGTTTTCAAAAATGTCATAGTGAAAAGAATTTAGTGGAACATATGGAAATTCATGACAACGATTCAATACAGTGTAATGATTGCTTAAAGTATGTATTAATTTCTAAATTAAATAATCATATGCAAGAATTGCATAATAAACATTTTTTTAAATGTAAGAAATGTAACTTACTATTTGAAAAAGAAAAATACTTAAACTGTCATTTAATGCTTTGCTTAAAAAGCTCTTATACCAAATTCAAGCCTAATTCAACGACTTGTTCTGCTTGTGGAATTGCTTTTAATAGTTATTTATCATTGAAGAATCATATGACTATTGGTTGTGAGCATTATACTTGTAAATATTGTGAACAGTTTTTTAATTCAAGGATTTTATGGTTAAGACATGTGAGTGTTCATGAAAAAGATGAACAATACGTAATGTTAACAGTAAATAACGATAAAACAACTACAACTAGAGAACATAATCAAACTGAGGTTGTAAATGATTCTTCTTTCAATACAAATAAAGGACAGTTATTATCTACCAATGTTACAGGAAGAAATAGCTTAGATCAAACTGATTTAGTCAGCAGCAATACAACAATTGTATCAACTGTTTCAAATAATTCAATAACAAATAGTTGTGTTGTTTTGAATAGTAATCAAGAAAAAAACTTGTGTATAATTAACAGAGAAACAAATAGTTCAGATCAAATGAATTTAAAAAACAATAATGAATCAATAATTTCGACTGTTTCACATAACTCAATAGTGAACAATTGCCATATGTTAAATATTAAAGAAGAAAAAAGCATAAGTACAAATGTCAGAGAAAGAAACAGTTTTGATCAAATGGATTTAGTGAATAGCGATGAACCAACTATAGCAAACAAACCTCTTGATTTAATGGCAAGCCCAAACCCTACTAGTATAGATAGTAATAGTGTTGCATCTATAGTTAGGGAAACACTTTACTTCTGTATTAAAAAATTGCCTAATATTAAAAATGTATCTTGCAATGACAATTATGAACAGACATCGCACGTCAATGTTATATTTTTATGTAGAATTTGTAAAAAATCTCCATTTTCAAATATACATTTGTTTGCATTGCATATGAGTGATCACCGTGAATGTAACATGCATGAATGTATTGTGTGTGATAAAACATTTAAAACTGTATCTCTTTGGGTAAACCATATGATTGTTCATCAACAGCAATTAGATTTAAATGTATCAACAGTTCAGTGTTCTCCTATAAAAACTGAACCTCATACATTAGGCTCAATCAAAGTTGAAAATATGGAGTCTCAAATTTGTACAACTTCAAAAAATAGAAAATTTATATCTTCATCGCATGGTTCATATTCAGATAAAACAAGCTTGAATAATAGTGACAAAAAAAAAATATATCGATATGACTGTAGTATATGTAAAAAATTATTTCCTTCAAAGGTTGCATTAGAAGCTCATCAAACACTTCATAATAAACCACAGTCATTTTCTTGTAAGTATTGTAAAAGAATATTTTCTAAAAAGGCTTATTGTACAAATCATGAAAAATCTCACATTAAAAATGAATATAAAAACAAATTATCAGCTCCTACAGATATCGATTTGAATAATTGTATTAATTTAAGAAATAAGAAGAAATGTACAGTTTGCACCATTTGTAATAAACAATTTGCAAGTGTTGGTTCCTTAAGCAATCACATGTATATTCATTTAGATCATAAATCATACGAATGTCAATATTGTAACAAAAAATATATTAAGAAAGCTTATTACATGAAACATGTGAAAAAACATGTATTCCAAAATGGAATTTTAAGTGCTTCCAAACTAGAAATAAATAATACAACAGTTGAAGATAATGAAGTACCAAAAATCGAAAATTGTGATGATTTTGAGTTAGTTCATAATCCAGTTGATGGATATTTAAATGATACAAATTTAACTAACATAAAATTGTTTACTTGTGATGTATGTGAGGAAAAATTCTCTTGTCCATCTCAATTGAATCAACACCGAACGTTACATTCTGGTATTGTACCATATGTATGCAAAATTTGTAATAGATCTTTCCCCTTCAAATTCCGATGGAATTTACATTTAAAAGAACATTATAAAAATAATATTAAAAATTTACAAAATAAACTTCATACTAATAACCAAAACTCAAATATTGGTAAACAAAAGATTGAATCTTTTCATAATCAAGATACGATGAAATGTCAATATTGTAAAAAAGAATTTAACTCAATATCTCAGTTGAAAAATCATTTAGGAAGGACCGAGGAATGTCGTCGCCATTGTAAAATTAACTTTCCAGAACTTCCATCAAATCAAGCTTCAGAGAATTTTACCAAATCTTGTCGATCTCAATGCAATATTTGTAAGAAAACATTTAGTACCTCTTACAATCGATTTGTACATTTAAGAAATGTTCACAAAATATTAGATACAACAGTTTTGAATATTGATAATCATACCAGTTTTCAAAAAGACAAAGTGATGGAAATAGTTCAGAACCCAGTGACTAAGGAACAAAATAGAGATGATCGTAAAAAATGTAAGTTTTGTGATAAATTATACAGTAATAAAGGTAATTTAAGTCGCCACATATCTATGGTTCACACAAACCGTTATGAACAAATAACCTGTCATATTTGTCTAATGACATTTAAAAACAAATTTTCATATATACCACATTTAAAAATGAAACACAACGACTATTTCAAAATGATGAATTAATAAAGAATAAAAGAACCAATAGATAAATTATATCAAAGAATAAAAAAGGAATAATTATGAAATACTTTTGCAAAATTTGTTTAATGAACTTTGCTGACGATATTACATTACAAGAACATTTAAAGATACATATAGTAAATATGTATAAGTGTAAAGACTATGGTCAGCAATTTGAAACAAATGCTACTTTAGCTAAACATATTTTGGAAAACCATAGGGCTAATATTTCTACCTATAATAAAAATAAACAGGTCAAGAATTATGAAAGCCAAAATGATTCTTCAGAAGTAATTATTAGTAATCCCACTCAATGTAAAGTTTGTTTGAAAATCTTAAAAGATCATGGTTATTTACATGTACACATGAGATTACACACAGGTGTCAAACCATTCGAATGTGATAAGTGTAACATGGCTTTCAGATTTAATTCAAGCTTAAAAATTCATCAAGAGAAACATCTGCTAGGTGAAATCTCATAGCTATATTAATGTATTCTAAAATAAAATTTTAAGCCATTAGAAATTTCAATACATATTGACTTTTATGGTATAGAAATATTTTCATTATTGTAACTATTTATACAGTATAATTAAGCTTATACTGTAGATTAAATGTATTTAAATGATGTACGCATATATTTAAAAAAAAATATTTGTATTGTAAATAATATTTAAGGTTTACCTATTTTTGTATTAATTTAATATAAGTGTTAAGAATTTTTTCCATTAACCATAACTTGTGTTGTATATATCGTCAACTAAGTAATTTATTTAAATTTGTAATATATTGTATGTTTAACTGTTTTAAATTAATCTAATAATTAAATAATTTTTATTTGTACATTTTATAATTAAAAAATTATATTTAACTAAGTAAATTATTGCATAGCAAACATATAATTTAGTTAAATAAGTTATTTTAATATATTTCAATTAAATGTTAAATGTTTTAATATTTTTTTAGTTTACCATACATTTTTTTTCATACATATGCACCAGTGTCTAATTTATTTTCTTTTATAACATAGATATTGATTTGGAGTAAATTGGCGAAACTAAGAAAATATATAATATTCTACCAGTAGGGTTGAGCATTATCTTCGATAAAAGGATCTAAGACACGTATCTTGTATCTTGTATCTTGATACAATTATACGAAGTATCGAGTATCTAGTATCTCGATACTCCAAACCCAAGTATCCAATATCTAGTATCGCGATACTGATTTTTGAGTATCTTGCCCATTCTTGTTTGTGAGAAGAATAAATTCACTATGATCATTTATATATTAATATTTCTCTTGTATTATCGTTTAGATACAATAAGAACATAATAAAATAATACATAAATTGTTGATAAAGACAATGACTGCTAAAAAAAATTTTAAAATATTTCCATGGTATAAGTAGGTAGATAATGAAGATTCTTCAAATTCTTGATAAGACATTTCAAATTGACTGCAGATGATTTGATTTTTTGCTATTATAATTTAGTGACAAAATACGAACAGTTAAATTAGATTATGAACGACAGATGTCGCTCAGGCTAAAGTTATTGACAATTGTATGATCTAAAAGATATTTTTCTCCAAACTATCTGTTTAAGTCATGTATCATATTTAATGGTGATACATGAAAATTAACTGTAAAATATCACTGGGTAGTGTAATTTGTTCCTTACTGTTTATTTCATATTATATTAATTCTTTATGTGGTTAAAATATTGATGGTCAAATAGTAACATATGCGGATGACACATAACTATTGTTTTCAGATGTTGTGATACTACACAAGATTTAAAAAAAGTGAATAGCTATTTAAATTACAGAAAACTATTAATAAAATTAATTATATTAAAATAAATTTCACGAGTTTCTCAATTAATAAGAATGATAAAAGTTTTGATAACTTAGAAATTCATACATGTGATAATTTGGATTCCTGTAATGCTATAATATGTCAAAAAATATGCAGTCTCTAGTTAAGGATATTTGAGTTTAACATTTGACAAAGATATGAAATGGAGTTAAATGCAAAAAATTTTGTGAAATGTATGTGTTTATTATCTTTTGATTTAACTTTTATAAATTACAAACCAATGCAAACTTTGTCCATCATTTATTTATCACCATTTCAGGTGTTTTTTTTTTATTTTTTATTATGGTTTATTAGTTAAAGAGAGGGTAATAAATCAAACTACAACTACAACTTCTTTAAAGAAAAACTATTAGGATATGCTTAATTAAAAATACTTAGATAAGTTCAACGAAAGAAAACTTAAAGGTACCTACCTATTAAATATGTTACCAGTTCAATGTATGTATAAAAGAATAATTATTTTATTTATAAATGAAAAACTTTAAATCTTTTCTGGATATGAAAAATAGAACAGAGAAAAGAGAAAAATTGATGTATTTGATGTCAGAATGGATTATTCTAAATAATTGTTTGATCAAAATGATAAGATTATCTAGGTCCCAAAAACTACAACTTGATGCCTACACACATAAAAAAGACATATTCTATACGATGACTGGGAATCATTTGAATTATAGGTACTAATAGAAAAAAAATATAAACATGACTATTTTCATTGCTTGAATAAGGATATATTTTATGTTCAGTAAAAAAATATTCTTTTTCTTTTTTATAGTGCTTAATGGAGTTGGATATTTTTATTTTTCATTGTTAATTTTAGATATCGTGTCAAACTATGTAACTAAATGTATATTATTTTCTCTATGTACAATATAAATAAAAAACACTTAAATGCTTAGACCTGATTGCAAAAAAAAATATTTATTTGTTTAATGATTCACGGAGATTTAATGAACTAATCGTTGTCCACAATGCTTAAAGGTTCATATTAGCTCTCTAATTAATATAATTAATATTTAGTAGTTGTTTATGCAACTAATAGCATTTTTTTATCTAATGTATAAATATATATTATATATAACTTGTCAACAATAAAATTCTGACAAAGGTTACCAATATATATAGTATATACATTATTTATTTATTTAACAATTACGTATATTTTTATATTTTTGTGTGAAACGTTGTTTAATCTAGTAGAAAAAATTCTCTGATTTCAAACATAAGGGAGGTTTATGTTTGTAGATTGGATCAAGTTAGTACTTTTGGGAGATAAAAATTCTCAGTGCCTATTAAAATAATCGAGGAAAAATTAACATTTTATTGGTAAATAATTGTATAGAAGTTATATGAGTATATTATAACATATATATTATTTAGAATGTGTACGAGTATAAAACACCTATTAAACTTTTATTTTAAATTGTTATCATTATAATATACTATATGTGTATATGTGTTTTTTCATTTTATTTAGTTATTATATTATTTAGTATTTACATACAAAAATTGTAGAGCGGAGCTAACACATTTTAGTATAACCTGTGGGCCCTTTGATCAAATCGCTGACTTAGCCTTTTGACCCCAGTTCAACTCTGCATTCACCCATAATATATGTAATAACATGCCGGCATATCATTGTATATAGCATAAATATAATTAATAAATTACGGTCAAATTGTCACACGCAGATAACGGTTAATTCCAATATCTCTTCATCACTGATGAAAAGGACGACTCGCATTGTACAGTTTGCATAAAAATAATTTCTATTAACTGTATTAACACGTATTGGTGACAATAGTGACAATGAGGCATAAGATGTGTGACTTTCTTGTGTGCCGCCAAAGACTGGTAAGGTCAAGTGAGGGTATCTACCGCCGAGGATAAGGCTAGTTCCGTAGAAACGCCGAGGCCTTCGGTGAAGTCGCTAACCTCTCTGGCTGGTTTGATCATGTTGTCTCCTCTTTAGTCAGTGTATGCGCACTAATCGTTGGAGTAACACCTCTCAATACCGTATTTTGTAAGCGAATATTGAACTTGACTTTTCAAAGAGCTAAACCAGTGTTGTTTTTTATTTGGATTCACGTGTTCAGTGAATTTTTTTACGTATTTGGGTCACCTTATTTTTTATGACAAACATAACATATAGGTATAGGTACGCTACACTGCTGTGAAACAGATAAAACCCATGATCATAATTCTTATATATATTTTTTTCACATCTTTATATATAATATATAAAACAGTCCTTTTTTATGTTCCCGTTTTGTGACGACACTATTTAACATTTTTCCAATTTTTTTTCACGAGGCTGTATCAAATACTCCTCCAAGTGATCTACACAATTATACACAATTTAATTTTATTCGTCATAACAGTCATTTTGAGAAAGCACAAAATTAACACTGGCAAAGCCGAGTAATTCAGCTAGTATACTATATAGTATTATTAGCTATGAATTGCCCGACTTCGCCCTTGTGTATTTTTGTCGATAAATTTTTCGGAACAATTATTCATATCTACACGCTGCACGGCCGGTATGAGTAAAAGTTACAGGTAGCTGGAAACCCGCGCGGTCGACCGCCGTGCCGTACAATACGTGTTAATTAATGAATAATTAAAATTATTAATTAATCCACTTAAACGCAACATTTTTTAAAATCCTTTCTTATTACACGGTAAAAGTATTAGAGGAACCACAATTCCAAATTTCAAGTCCGTAAGTTCAGTAGTCTTTGAGGTACAGCAATCAGTGAGTGAGGTATTTGGATTTTGTATGTATCGGTAGATTATAGTTTGTATAAATTATAGGTACCTATATTAAATTTGTATTACTAATTACTATTTACTTGATCAAATTCTCGATAACACGTTATGAAATGCTGTATGTTAATGAAGTAAATACTTAAAAATGCTAATAAATCTGTTAATAAAATTATAAATTCTTTTTAAAATTAAAATAACAGTTTATACGTCATATTTTCTTAAATTTAAATTTGAAATAAAATTTGTTTTAATCTAGAAAACAATTATAAATTGTTAAAAATCTTGTCAAATCTTTGTGACGCATGTTATCTAAAACTACTCATCCAAGCATCTTGATATTTTTAAAAATAAAAGAGTAAATTGCGGAGCAAATTTTTTTGGTTCTATAAATTAATGAAAAATCGAGTTTTAATTTTCAGATAATTAAAAAATATGCATGTAAAGATATATTTTTTTTTATCCGCGTAACTAATTACTAGTTATTATAAGAAATTAGTAATTTAATAAATAGTTGATAATGTTAAAAACAGTATAAAACGTATTTGTTGTTTTTAATTTACACTGTTGAAACTTTATGAGTTGTTGATTTTTGATCCAGAAAGAAAAGGAAATCAGTTTTGGGTTGTTCATCAAAAAAATGCTTTTTTTAAATGGTCAAACGAAAAGTAACTCTGGGCCATGGCTTAAGAGCCCGATTAAGAATCATAGCCGCCCTGGAGCAATATATTATTTTTGATATAGGTACTTTTTATAAAGAAGTTGTTAAGACAATGTAGTATGTATATTGTATATGTATTTCATGTAATAATAAATATTTAAATGAATCTGTTTAACAATTTAATAAAAA